TCCCAGGTAGCGTGTCCGGCGAAGCCGGTCATATGCTGCATCAGACTGTGTGTAGTAGAGAGTGATTTCTTGAGTGACGAGATCGGTGCGAAGTTCCATACAGCAGTCGATCAGCAGGAACACATAGACTAGGTTGAAGTGCAAGTCCTTAACGATGCGCACATCTTTCAAATGTGATGTGAATTATGTTGTCGTGGGCTTTCAAGATGACGATGACACACGAGTTGGCTGTGAGCCTCTCGTTATTAGCGACAGTGATGAAAGCCGTCTGAGGAGTGGCGATGGCGATTGAGATGTAGCGTCGTAAGCCCACCATGTGTTGTCCGCAGGAGCTGTCCAGGTACCGGGCATTGTATTTTTTGTCACCAGGCGAGGAGTGCGAGGTTAGGAGTCATGAGGTACGGACAATTTGTGGGGACTGAAAAGTGTTATCTGGGAGTTTGACACCCCATTCTGGTGCCACTTTCGCATCGACACGATGGGATGGCAGCACGAATAGGAGGATCAGCAATTGTCGTTGTTGCAGTTGCAATCTTGAGTCCATAGGTTGTTATGTGCGATGTCTTGTACTTCGTTCCATGACTCATATGGCAGCGGAGGAGACGGCAGACGTGGTTGTCACCAATTTGCATGCCTGGTTGGCGAAAAATGTCACATTGCCTTGCATTTCAAGATGTGGCTTGGTGCTCCTCCGTCGGGATTGAGCCTCGGTTGGCGAGAATCCTATGTCGTCAACTAGAGCGACAAGTCGATGATCTGCTTGAGACAAGCGTCCTGTCGTGCATGCATCCAAGTGAGGCAGATTCATGGGCCACTTCTGAAAGGTTAGGCTCCAGCATCCCCAGTGGAGCACGGGGCCAGTGGGTGGTCTGGCGTAGGAGTGGAAGTTCATCGCCGTGTAGAGAGCCTGAACATTTTGCACTATTTACAAAAATGGCGGCGACAGCGTTGATTGCGATGTGGCTCCTTCTATCCTGAATAGAAGCCAGATTTTCCTTGCGGGGTCCATTGCCCTTGTAGATGTCCATGTCGTGCTGCTCGGTGAGCAAGGTGGCGCCGAGAGTGCCTTCATAAATTTCCCCCTATTGATGCAATAAGGCCTCGCAATGGGTCATTCCTATCAGAATCCCGCAAGGACTATCATGACAAAGACACCTTTCCCGAGGCTCTTTTCGTGCTTGGCGATGTGGCCATGGATGCTGCGGAAGAGGTTGGTGTACATATTGCTATCTCTCATGGGACCATCTAGACTTTCATTAGTAGCGAGAGTAGTCGGTTCGAGGACACGGAATCCCTTGGCTGGTACAGATTGTTCACGCACAACCAAATTTTTTGTGCCGAAACGATGCGGGTTTTGAACGACTGAATTCCCAGCTGCTCCGCTGGGGGCAGGTTGCGCTGTAAGCCATTAGTAATTCGTTGAAGTTCTATGATTTTGCTGTATTACGTATCGACATGTGCTTCCGGGTAAGAGCCGCCGAAGAAGCAAAAGATTTGAGCGCCTTGAAGGAGTAGCTCAAATTCAAAGCTCCACGTGTGGAAGTCACGTGCGTCAAATATAGTGCTCGTGTGGATTTTTTGGACGGCGACGAATTTGGACTGTACTGGTTGGATGGCCTCGTCGATCATCCTTGGGCTTGCATAAGGTTGCATGTTACTGGTGTCGAAATATTAGTTGCCTAAGGTGTTTACTTTGTTTGGCGAATTCAGTTGGGATGTCTGGCGAGTGGTGCTTGAGCCATTATTCTTGAGAGACAGGAGCCCATTTTCTATAGCTCTCATTCATTGAAGTAATTGTTCTAGTAGCGCAGTATTGATGGTTGTTGTTGCCACCGGATTTGAAGATGGGGCAAAGGGAGCTTGGTCCCGAGTCTTCGGCCATCTTTTGGCGGGAGCATTTCTTTGTCGCCACTGTGCTTGATTTAAATTACGTAGAATCCTAAGTAGCTCCTAACATGACATGAGGAACAAGGTCGAGTAGGATATTCAGGATTGAACACGCAGATAGCGTGTTGTGATTGGTTATTGACCTTGTCAGAATGAGTTCAGAATAACAAAATGATAAAAATAAATGGATACATGGTCTATATGATAGTAGGGAGATGAAAATTCCTAACTAGCATGTACTCTGAAGGGTACATTTGCTTTAAAAATCGTACACGACTCAGGTAATTGTCCGCCCTGTAAAAGTTGGTATAGGCTGCGTGTCTTGCTGGCGTGTCGGTCCACCTGGACTGTCAACTCTTGGACTTCTACTATTGTTAAGTTGTTGGTCAACGGTCAACGATCGTTGCACTTAGCAACTGGCAGTGCGTTTATCCGATACGGAATATACTGTCAACAAATAGAATTATCTAGGCTAGCTAGTTTATATTTGTTATAGCCGTAGTTATAGTATGTCAGTTCTTAGAGGATACAGTCCTATCTTTGTAACCCTCGACATTTTTCCCTAGTCCACTCTTCTCTCAACATCCGAACATGTCATCTAGAGCGAGGTCCCGCCCTCTCCTCGCTCTTCTGCCCTAGCACACCCTAGCCTAGCACGCCTCGCCCCTCACTGCGTGCTCTCGTAGTTTGTCCCCTCCCTGGCCTCCGCTATTCGTCGCGTAGCTCATGCCAGCCGTCGCTGGCCCCCGCCTGCTAGCGCCTTCGTTCGTAACCGTCCCCCCTCCCGCCACGTGCTCGTAGCCCGCGCTAGCTTGTGCCAGCCCGCCTCCTTGCCAACGCGCCTGCTCGCCAGCTCGCCTACTTGCCAGCGCACCTGCTCACATACTTGCCAGCTCGTTGGCTCACCAGTGCTACCAGCGCCAGAAGCCAGCAGCCAGCGCCAGCTCGCCAGCACCTACAGCTAGCACCAGATAGCTCGCCAGCGCCAGCCAGCGCCATCAGCCCACAGCCAGCGCTGGCTGCTGCCGCCCACTGCCACTGCAGCTACCACTACCAATCATGCAGCTACTACTGCCCGCTGCCACCTGCTGCCGCCTACTGCCGCCCATTGTCGTTGCAGTCGCCACTACCGCAGCCACTGTTGCAGCCGCTGCCGCCACAGCCACTACAGCCGCCGCTGCCGCTACAGCCGTCGTTGCCGCTACAGCCATTGCTGCTCTTGTCGCCACTACTGTTGCCCACCGTCAGCTTCAGCCTCCAGCAGCCGGCCACCAGCCGCCAGCACTAGTCGCCAGCCGCCAGCGGCCGACTGCCGACCCCCAGCCGTCAGCCGCCAGCTTCCACCACTCGCGGCCAGCCGCCGACCGCCAGCCTCGTGACCATCAGCGGTTCTGTACTCAGCTTGGTCTAGCCAATGTAGCAGCACCATTCCTTGTTTCCTGAGTCATACTATACTTGCTTGTCTTGGTACACTTGCTGACTGGCCTTGTGGCCTCTTGTCTCAGTGGTCAGACTAGTAGTGCTGCCCTGAGTTGCCTTGTTACCCTCAGGATAGGTAAGGCTAGTAGTGCTGCCTTGAGTTGCCTTGTTACCCTCACCCGAGGTCAAACCAATAGTGCTGCCCTGGTGTACTTTTCCTTGTTATGAACTGCCTCTATCTCGGCTAGGAGGTGTGTCAACAAATACAATTATCTATGCTAGCTAGTTTATATTTGTTATAGCCTTAGTTAGCTCAGTTCTAAGAGGGTACCATCCTATCTTAGTAGCCCTCGATATTTTTCCCCAGTCCACTCTTCTCTTCACATTCTAACATGGTATATCTGTTAAACGAAGCTAGGATCTAGGTAAGAGGGAAGCCATAGAAATGGCGTGAGGGTTTAGGCTAGGAAAGTTACGACAGAAAAGAGGGTGAGACTAGAAAGAGAGAGGGATACAAGGAGGGGATTGTACCCTCTACAGTAGAGTTCGATAACCTACCAAGCCTACCAATTATATAACACAATGTATAATTTAACACACCCCCTAGGCTTGGTAGTAGGACCCACACACACCCACACCCCCTAACCTAGCACCCCCATTCCCAGCAACAGCCACGTCTACTTCGGCAGGGCCAACCCCACGGCCCGTGAGATGGCAATGGCGGCAGCGGCGGCAGTGTCGACAGCGGCGACGACGGCGGCGGCGTCGTGCGGTTGCGTGGCCCCAACACAAGCGGCGACAGCGCGGCGGCGGCGGCTTCGACGACAGCGGCGACTGCAGCGGCCCCCGCCCTCTCGGCGGCGTGGCCAAGCTCCGCGACCGTGGGACGGCCGCTGGGAGTCAGCCGGCGGCTGTGGCGAGAAGAGGACACTGGGGAAAGGGAGGGAGGGGGGGGGGGGGGGGGGGGGGGGGGGGGGTTTCAGTATCTCGCCCGTGGCTGGCGTGTGTGCGACAGGTCTGGCGGCGCCACAAACGGTGCGCGGCCGGCTGCCGCCCGTCGACGCCGCCACTGCAGCATTACGACGCCGCCACAGAGCGGCGTCGATGCCGCGGGGGTACGTCGACGCTGCGACGGCAGCACGACGGCGCCGTCACGCCGCCACGGCTGGACGTCAACGCCACGGCAGCGCGTCGAGACGGCCGCGGTACGACGACGCTGCCACAGCAGCACGACGCGACCGCCATGGCAGCACAAGAGGAAGAGAAGGAGTGCGCGGCGGAAGCCTACCAAGCCTACCAATTATATATAATTTAATAATACCATGTTAAAGTACTCAAAACTATAGTTAAATTCAGAAATTCCTTTACGGCGTTTCCTTATCATAAGAGGGAGCACACATCTGGATATAGTTTTAGTTTCTTGTTTGGTTGGAATTAAGCCATTTTATACATTCGTATGTGCTAACGGCATGGTTATCCTTAGATTTTTTATGAAACGGAGTGTGAAACAGCATAACACTAAAATCCAATTCGCACAATCAACTGTCCACGTGGCGTCCCTGAATCGACTTGTCGGCTTTGCGGCAACATCAATGTGCGCCTTGGTGTTTCCTGCTTCTACAGCCACTGCTTGCTGCTAAAACGGTAGTTACCCTGCCCCGCCGCGCCGACAACTGGCATTCAGTATTTTCTTGTGGCTTTTGGCTTCTTGCCGCTCTCGCAGTGTAGCTTTCACCGCGCCGCGCAGCCCAGCCTATGAGGGCCGTCCATGTCGTCCGTTCCACCGTATCCACGCGCGTTAGGCGCAATCTATTTTGAGGAGGTGCAGCCGGCGCCGTCCATCACGCTGCAGCAGCGGCGCGTCAAACGCAGACAAATGAAGGCCACGCGCAAGAAAGGAGGTCGCTCCGCTCTCAATATCGAACCTAGCCGTGCTCAGCGTACTCTTATCTCGTTCAGTTTCTGATGGTTTGAAATCATAAATCGTCGACCTCCAAATTCGTCTTAACTCATTCTATGGTCACTGGGTCGCGCGCAGCCCTAACCTCGAGCTAAACCAGTCGCGGCGTCCGAAGCCCCTGTCGATTGGAAGAAGCCATTTTTTGCGTCGTTCTTTTTAAGAAAGTCCCAAGATCGGAATTCTCAAGAACGAGCCTCGCCGTCAGCCATGGCGTCAGCTCGCGCGGTCACTCTCCTCTGCGCGCTCGCGCTCCTCGCGCCATGTGAGTCGCGCCAAACCAACTCGGGCTTCAGCCCGGTTTTCCAAGTAACGTGCCCTGTTCGCCTTTCGCTTCTACCGAATCTTTTCGTTTCATTCCACTCCTACTTGCTCAACGCGCGCTGCGCTCTTATGTAGGTTTTATGTACGTCTTATCCCTGCTCCTCCTCCCCCATATCAACATGACGTTGCTGCCTCTACCTACTAACGCGTCGCGCCCCTCTGCTGGCGGACGGTGCTACTTCTTCCTCCCGTGGACACGTGGCGTGACGCCCTGCCGAACATGCTCCCAACCCGACAACGATGCCATGCCACGTGGCTCCTTGAACCCCTCTCACTCTCGCCCCCTTCCCCCACGGGCTGCCAGTCCTGCTCCAAGCACAGGCAAGCCCCCCGCTTCACTCTCAACCTTACTTACCCCGCTTCACTCTCACCCGCTGCAAGCACCCTGCTTCCAAGAGCCCATAGACGTGCTTCCAAGGCCCCATAGAATTGCTTCCGCTTCCCTCCCAACTCTCTGCAGCTCTCTCGGCGCTCCGCCCTCACCACCTCAATCCGCAAAATCGTGCATGATCATTCTGCTGCTCTATGGCTCTACTTCGTGAATCCTCGCCTGATCATTCTGCTGCGGAAACTTGCCCTTTCTTAAAAATCTTACCCAAACCCCCCACTCTCTACCCCCCTCTCCCCCCCCTCCCCCGCCCTGTCTGCAGGCTAAAGTGGTGATAGTAGGCTACGGGTGCCCCCCCAACATCCTTCTAGGTCTCCACTTCCACTAGTCTCCTCACTCTCAAAACTACCTCTCCCCTCCCTGCCCTCCCTCCCTTCCCTGCAGGCCAAGGCAGTGATTGTGGGGTACGGCCCCCTGCCCTGGTCCTTCTACGTCTTCCAGTCCTGGAGGCAGCCCGTCGTCAAGCCGGGAGACGTGCTCGGTGAGTCAAGTGCATCCAGTGTCAGTCAACCACGTGCATGGTGAATTTTGCTTCCATGTACAGTGCCACTCCACTCCAGTAGCGCTCTCTGAGACTCCTTCCCCTGACCCCCCGGCAGTCTTCAAGTGGGCCTTCTGGCCGCACGGCCTGTGCAATCTAGCCAGCGGCACAGCATGCACCTTCATCCATACCGTATCATGTGTGGCCCCTACCCACCTCTCCCCCCCCCTCTTCCCCCCTCCTCTTCCCCCCCTCCCCCCCGCTCCTTCCCCTGCACCCTCCCCAGTGTTCAAGTGGGGCTTCTGGCCGCACGGGCTGCGCAAGCTGGCGAGCGGCACGGCATTCGACAACTGTGACTTCAGCGGCAGCACCAAGATTGCTCCCATACGCTTCTTTGGATACGCCAGGTCAGCGCCTGAAAGAAATTATGGCAGATGCATCTCTGTCCTTCTAGGCCCATCCATGCGATTCTGACATACTCCTTGCCCTGCTCTCACCCCTCTTCCTCTGCGCCCTGCTCTGCACCGTCCTCCCCGCATACAAGGTGCAGGCAGCAGACGCCACCACTGCTCTCTTCTTCGCCCGCTCTGTATTCACCTGCCAATCCCTCCCTGACCTCCTCTGCCCCGTCCTCCCTGCAGGTACAAGGTGCAGGCAGCAGACGCCGCCACTGCTCTCTTCTTCGCCTGCCCTGTCCCCAGCCACTGCGGGCCGGGAGGCATGAAGGTGCAGGTCAACGTCACTCCGCTGTAGCTGTTGATCCTTCAAGTTGCAGGTCGACGACAGCACTCCGCTGTAGAGTGTGAGGAGCTGAGCTGACGTGTGGAGTTGCCAATGGACTCAACCGCTGCTGCTATGCTGTAGCTGTTGACTCCTCTGAATAATCGCCCCGTGCCACAAGGGCGTAGTTGTACAGAACAGACTTCCCCTGCTGCTGCAACCGGCGCCAGCATTTTTGCAGCCCCCTGCTGCAGCCCTCTCTCATGCCCTCAGGTGCATCCTGCCTTCTTTTTGTAACTCTGATTTCGATCATTAGTGTCAGATTGTCAGCTGGTGCCCTGTCCACCACTGCTCATGTTTCAGCATGCAATCAGCATCTCACCTGCCTGCTGACCATCATTTGGCAGCTCAAGCGTGCGGTATGATACAGAAATTGCAGAAAGCGGACATGTACATGCACCGAGACTAGTAGTCCACCAACCAATGTCAATGTAATAATAAGGCTTAAGCAAGTACATCTGTAGCTTGCTAGTCTACAAATTTTAAACAGCTATGTGGCAGGTAGGCTGTTACAGTGCATAAACTGGAGAAATGCACATAGGGACAAAGCAAGCGACAACTCGCGGTGCTTCGCCTTGACAGCTCAGCACCTTTCAAACCTCCATTTACTCTCCCAATGCCCCAGCTGTGCCCCGGCAACACACAACGTACAGGAGCAATCCACATATTACAGCAGCATTTTTCATGCGGAGAGGAATTCAGTCCAGCCAGAAAATGGCTGTGCAAATTTGCCCATAGTAACCTGACCATCATGCACTGTAGACTTTGAGCCTGTTAGTCACAGCCGACCCTAGTCACATCATCTCTCCCCCTAGCGCCAGCTCCCACCAATACGCCCATACTTGTTATAGTCACAGTTGTTTCAGTCACAGCCAGCCATGGTCCTTGAGGTACTGTAGTGCCATGGTGCACGTGACCACGGAGGGCAGCAGCATGTCGCCCCCCAACGCCATGCCCTGCAGGTCGTCCACGGGCACGCGGTGCACCTCTATGAACTCCTCCAGATCTCGGGGTAGGGGGTCAGCGTCGTCCTGAGGGAAAGAGACAAGGAGATGGCAAGGGGAATGATAAGGTGAGCAGTGGAACTTGACGGGACAAAGGCCATCCACGGGCACGCGGTGCACCGCTATCAACCCCTCCAAGTGACAAAGTAGGCAGTCAGAGTCATCCTGGGGAATGGCCAGGGGGGTAGGGAGGAGACGGGAGCAAGTGGTGGAATTTGGTGTGCCCTTACAACAGCGAATGAGAAGTGGAATGGTGGAGAGTGTGTTGCTAGCACTTGTTGCATTATGGAAGAGTACGCATGCCTGGTAGGTGGATAGATGCACTGTGGGTGGGAGAGGGTACGAGGGAGAGAGGACAGGCTACAGTAGGAGAGGAGAAGGATGGAAGCGAAAGGGGGCAGAAGGAGGGATGAAGAGAGGAGGGAGGGGAGGCGAAAGGAAGAAGAGAATGATTGGAGGAGGCTTACTTGAGGGTCGATGACGAGGAACGGAGTGAAACGGTTCTTGCACCACTTAACCTGCCATGGGAAACAGAGCACCAGCTGCAATTAGCTGGCTGAAGTCTAGTTTCGCACACCAGTGGAGGTACAGACATCAACTTAGGCATGCTGTGCACATCTGATGACCTGAAACCATCAGATCTGCTATTGCCTGTACATTCAGCTGAAGCACATGGGCATAGGAGAGTTGGATGCACAGCACAGGCACGCAGCAGCACACAGGAGTGCAGTACAGAGTTGTGCAATGCAACAGCTGATTGGTCCAACACTGCCTTCCTGATTGGGCTAGCCTCACGCAGGGCTGGGAGGTCGACATACATGACTTTGTCTAAATAGCTGGACACCTATGCACCAGCTTAGCCTGGTGCATGTGTGGCTTGACCCGCCTGAAGCAGGCCTGGTTGGTAGCCATGCACGAGCTTGACTAGCTGGTCTGTCGGCCCACGGTACCAGGTGCTTGGCTGGGCGTAGGGTGTCGAACTGGGAGGTCAAAACTCGTTCGAAGCACCCCAGGCTGTTTCCAACTTTCTGGCAAGTTTGAGCCCAGGCCCGAACGAGACGTTTTTTACCTCAAGGTTCTGCGCCCTTACCCCGAGCAGGACAGCAGGCCTGGCAAGGCTCACCTCAAGTAGGCCTGGGTGGTCATCTCCCACGAGCTTAATTAGCTGCCCTCCACACAGCTTGGCCTGGCGCATGGGGGGGTTGAGAAGGGTAGGGCGAGAGGTTGCGAGAGTAGGAGAGAGTGCACGCACCTTTTACCAGAACAGATTACCTTGCTTGCATTTCGGAGCCCACCCCGTTGGTAATTTCACATACTTAACCACTATGTTTCACCTTGTACTGCGTATTCAGCTTTATTTCTCTAATGTTTGAGTCTACGCAAAAACGAAGTTTGTAGATTCCACCTCCATGCTTCACTTTGTAGTACTGCTTCTTTGGTTCACCTTATATCTCTGTTTCACCTCTTCTGTGCTCCTCTCATGATTCTGGTGATCGTTTCTCATCTATTACCATAGTCTTCTCTTCTCTTATTCCTCCCTTCTCACCTCCTCTGACAGCTCTCTCCGTGCGCAGTCCTCCACGGATGTGTGGTTGTCAGTGCACCCTGTCTTGTCTCACCCCGCCTTACACTCCTCTCCCTTCATCCCATGCACTCCCCTCCTCTCACCTCCTCTGACAGTTCTCTCCTGGCACAGTCCTCAAGGGACGTGTGGTTGTCAGTGTAGCCCCCACAGGGCACTGTGTACACCAGGGCGTTGGCTCCCTGCGGGTGAGGCATGTGAGGCAGAGTGAGGGAGGGAGGAGTAAGGCAGGCACGTCGAGAGATGCCTCAGCTCAAGGCGGGGGCACTGTGTGCACCAGGGCGTTGGCTCCCTGTGGGTGAGGACAAGGTGAACGAGGCGCAAGGAGGGAGAGAGTAGGCAGGAAATATAGAAACCTCATAGAACCAGAACACTGCGCATACCAGAGCAGTGGCTCCCTCAGGGTGACCCAGAGAAGCAGGGTGGATAATGGACAGCAAGAAGGGAAGGACAGCTAGGATGAGACTGAACCCATAACCTACTGGTGGCGCATCACTCGGTGGTGCACGCGTCACTCGCTGGAGCACGCAGCATTCTCTTGCGCCCTACACCCAGCGCCAAACAGCACCGGCCATCCACGTGACGACCAGCAAAGAGTTCCATGTGCGACCTAATCGTTCTGGTACCTGTGCGTATCCCTTCAAAAGAGTAACCGTCTTGATCTTGGATTGAAACGGCAGCACGCAGACGAAGTGGCAGAACTTGGTATTGGCGGCCACCACATCATACTCCACCACCAGCTGTGGCCACAGCTCCGCCCGCTGCTCCCCCTGCCCCCACCTTGTGTTCGCTACCCCCTGATCGTGTCTACCGGACTGAGTTGCTACCTCCTTGCGTTCAACTCATACATAGCTACCCGGTCCTTACAGCGCCTACCTGTGCATATTCCTTCAATAAAGTAACGGTCTTGGTCTTGGAATGGAAAGGCAGCACGCACACGAAGTGGCACGACTTGGTATTGGCGGCCACCACATCATACTCCACCACCTGCTGCGGCCACAGCTCCGCCCGCTGCTCCCCCTGCCCCCCCTGCACCTGCCCCAGCTCCAGCCCGTACCCTATCCACCCCCCCGAGTGTCCGCTACAATTCGCCGGCCTCTCCTCCGTCACACCGAACTCCTCAGCTAGCAGACAATCGCCGCCCATCGGCTGCTCGTCGGTTGACGTGGCGGGTCGGGTCATGCTGGCAGGGAGGGTTTGGCCATTGGGGAGCGGCTGGGGCGGATGCTGCAGGCGGGGGGGAGAGGGGAAGGGGGGGTGGGGGGGTTTGGAGGGGAGTGGGTGAACGATGGGATGAGTGGTGAGGCGTGGATTGAGGCATGGGACGAGGATGAGAAATGGGATGAGCTGAGGTGTGCGACATGCTGTAAAAGGGAAAAGGAGGCACGTCCAGCACGGAGTGGTGAGAGAAGATAATTGCAAAGATACGAGGAAGCAAAGGGACAGAAGGATGCCAAGGGACAGGAGGATGCCAAGGGACAGGAGGATGCCAAAGACTGACCTCTACCACCCGGTTGTACACATTGAGGTAGCGTGAGAACTTCAGCTCCTCCTACACTCGCGCACACGAGGCATAGACACAGGAGGCAGTTGCAGAGGGGCAGAGCGGCTCAGGCGGATGTACGGGGACAGGAACGAACAGATGAATGCACGGGAAGAGAGTGGCTCATGCAACCAGGGGAGGGACGAATAAGGTGAGAAGGTGGGATGAAGGCGAAGGACCTCGTGCCAAGAAAGCAGACAAGTAGCTCTGCAGCACCAGTTCCTCACAGGTGTCTCAAACATCGCATGGAAGGAGCGCCTGGCCACTAGTGACGTCACAACACACATAAGGCGGCTGGCGAGTGTGGAATAAAGAAGCGCCACGGCTCCGCGCGTTTGGAATAAAAAACAGCTGACAGGCACAGGATCAGAATCCCTTACCTTGAGAATCTTAAACTCGTATGGTTTCTTGGGGTCTTCTGTTGTCGATGGTCTTGGTATGGGCTGTGGGCTCGTTTCACCTTGCTCCTCTCCGTCCACCACCTCATCCTCCCCCACTTCCTTCTTCCCTCCGCCTTCTCTCCCTAAAGCATTGCCGTTCAAAACCCGCTCACCCGCTCTACCGTCCCTTTTACTCGCATCATCTGCGTCGATCCCTTGTGATCCGCAATCGTCTGACCATGCGACTGCTCGCAAGCTATCGCCTCCTGATGCTGTGTCGTCTGCTGATAGGTCCATATCCACGTGGTGATTCGTGATTCGCAGGACAGCGGTTTCCTCTGCAAGGCTGTCTATGTCCAACTCATCCTCAGCTGAACCTGGAAAGGGGGGAAAAAATAGGGGACAGCGGACGCCGTACGCGCTATAAGTCCAGAAGGGGAGATCGAGAGGTTCGTACGAGTAGATTCGATCGGGGTAGCGCGTAACCGGAAGATGAAGCACGGATGCCTCAACCTCACACGCAGAGACTCAGTGCGAAAGGATCAGCGGCCTGGTGCGAAAGGACCGAACCATCAAATATAGTGCACGACATACCTCGGTTCCTGGAACCAGCGGCTTGGTGCGGAACGGTGGCCTGCACAGAATCGAAGACAACACAAGCGAATCCAAACAGCTTGCTTTAGCTCTTGTGGAAAGGCACAGTGAACCGTTCAAGTAATCTGGACAGATCCTTCCGAGATACAACCAAGGCTGGTGCTTGAGGTCCCTAGTGTCCTGTGTTTTAGCTTAGGAGCATGAATCTCTGCACTCCAGCGGCTAGAATACGCTAGAAAAGCATATTATTCGGCTCGACGTACCCGGCAACGCCACTTTGTTGTGCTGAGTGCTACTCCTTGCCAGTCGCTGGCTGGGGTTTGGCCGGCACGGAATGAAGCGGCGACTGACGACGAGCTTGACTGGGAATGCTGACGCTGGTGCTGCGGTCGTCGCCGGAGTGACGTGGAAGTCGGGCTGGTCGACCTCGTTCGAGCGGATACGTCTGCGATCATTGTGAAGGAGAAGGCTTTGAATGTGGATAACGACGAAAGGGCGACAAGAAGATTGTTTGTTTTAAAGAAAAGCGACGATGACTGAGGCCGAAAGAAGGTCCCAACTCAGGGCACGGAGCATGGATTTCGGTTTCGGCAACCGTTTTTTTCCCGGGTAACCACCATCAAAGAAACTCATTTTGCCCTTAGCGAGGTTCGCCGGAAACGGCACAAAACCGTTTTTTTGTCGAAACCAGAATCCATGTTTTACACCCTCACGAACGCAAGTCAGCCCACATCCGGCCAGCCGCAGAGGCTACGTCAGCCTGATATCTAACGACAGGTCACGTATCCCATATCTAACAGAGGACACTACGCGCCCCCTTTTTTGTGTGACACAGCAGGAGGGCAGGAGGCAGTGGGAACTCACTGTTCGAGGGCCTGGACGTGTCTGAAGCGACGCTTGACAACACGCCAGAGCCTCCTCCTACCACTACAGCAGCGGTCTCTCCTAATTTCCACATACAATCCTGGTGAAACAAGCTGCAGCCGAAGCTAAGTTCAGTAGTGTAGATCCTATTCCGTAATACCTTGGGACTACCTACACCTAGCAGTGATATGCTACTCCCGTCTCGAGTTTCAGTGGATTCAAGGTGATTCAGTGGAGACTTGCTCAGGAGGGGATACTGAGGCGATTCTGTGGAGTGGAGGAGACGACTTTTATGAAACCTTGGCTGCTCTGGTTGGTCTGATCAACCAGGCTCCTCGATTCTGCCGCGCGTGCCTTTCGGTACAACAGCGCAGCACTCGATTGAGGTCAGGTTCGTGAATCCCCAGCCGCAGTCTGGTTCAATCAGCGGCGGTCACCAACTAGCCAACGGCCAAATGAGAGGAGGAACCTGCTCCTACCCAGCCATAAATAACCCAGTCGTAAGTCGCCACGGAGCACCTGACCTAACTGACATGGTGTTCCATTCCACGTTTGCGGCAAATGGATAGGGTGGCAGGCGCAAGGGCAGAATGATTTTCTCAAACAGCTTACCTTCCGATTCCGAAACCCCAAAGAGTGACGGATGATGTTTGAGGACTAGGCCGAATTGTGGCCCCAACTATGGAGGTAGTTGCCTAAGTGCTCGGTTCGTATGCGGTGTTTCCTGCTTTCCGAGGAAAATAGGAGGGCGGTTTTTCGGCCCTCCCGCGGGAGGCAATGACCCTGATTGGGAGGACCTGAGAAGCAGCGCCAAAACACATTTTGCCGACGTGGAAAGCACCAGAGGTTGTGTGACATACCCCAGTATAGTGAAACGCATAGCAGGTTCAGTGTTTCATTTGCATATACTTTAGTGCATTTCTTTATGTTTCAAATAGTTCCACCAAATACTTGTAGTGTTGTAAGCCAAACAAAAACTTCGTTTTGGAGTAATTTTCTGCGTTTGCATACCTGGTAGTAACACGTGTTATGAATTATAACTCATAGTATAGCGCAGAATACCATAGGGGAGCGTGATTCCATAATGACAATAGAAATGAGGCCTAGGGCTTATATAGTGCGAGTTGACCAAGGTTGAATGTCGAGAGTTGGACCAGTCAAGGGATCGACAGTCCCGAGGGTGACGGGGTCAAAATGGGTTCGGGGCGACTCAGGATCAGGTTGGGGCCGTCGAGGTTGGCGGGGGCTGTTTTGGCGTGTGACTTTGGGGCCGAGCCTGCGGAACCGAGAGGTTCGCATGTACTCGCTGTGGCGAGCCCCAATCAGGAATCGTAATTCCTTCTAATGGAAGGACCTCCCTTTATCGTGGCCGAACAATCATTAAAAGTAATCCCTGATGTAACTATAGCCCTGTGACGAGCGTAATGATTACGCCGGCTTGACGAGGTCTTGAGGTCGAACTGTGATCGATGGTCATAAAGCACCGAAACGGCCGCTTTTAATTATGGGCGTCGAAGATGGTCGAACTCTTCTGCTGACCAAAACGGGCAAGGGGAAGTACTCCAGCGGAAGACAATGAACATTGAAACTTGTCGAGTGGTCGATTGACGACGGCGCGTGGCAGCTGAATATCTTGAAATGATGACTGGCGAATAACGTGATAGTCGATGAAATGAAGAACCCGTTTATAAATCGCTAGGTCGTTCGTGCCACATGCGAGAGCACGCGTCCGTGTCCCACGAAAGTCAGCGAACTCCATCAACGAAGTGACGAAATTAGGCGCGGAAGCGTAACTGTGATGAATGTTGCTCGGAGATGGATGATGGAACACGCCGAAGGGTCAGACGGAAAATTGCAGCACAGCTGCACTTCTCCCTGCTCCAAGAAGAAAACAACTCCCAATTTCCCAGATAGAACTACAGGAAAACCCAATGCTCCAGGGTAGTCGAAATAATCTCACGTTGCTGCTGACAAGTCTCACACCCAGCTTCGAAGATGCCGCTACAAAACTCCAACCGCGAGAAATCCCATACGGCTTCTTAAAATCCCTGAAATCTGCTTCGAAGATGCGACTGAAAATACGCCAACATGTAGATCTCCCAAACTGCTTAGAGTGGAAAAAACCTCCAAGGTGGTCCGCTACAAGGGTCTTGAAACTCATAAGTAACTGCTCCGGAAGACTCCCAGACGAACTTGAAATTCTGAACGAGTAGGAACACTGCTTGCGAGCTGGTCCCAACACAGCTCCAACAGTACTGCCACAAAATATTTTCGCTTCGATATTGCTGTTGTAGATTCGGATGGCGAGGCGGGGTCGTGTTAACAGAAGTAGGCGAATGGAGAATGGAGGTGGTAGCGGGTGGTGGTGAGACAAAGACGACGATGTCGATGACCTGTACCGTAATCCCCCGTGTATAACACCCGCCGAAATAGTCACTCCATGGGTGGTTAATACGGGGGGGAGCTTATGATATGGTGCATTTTTATGAGCACCCGTTACATGGTGCTCCTCGTTTTCGTTCGTTTTACATAACACACTCCTCGTTTTATTCGTTTTAAAACTGTATTCGTTCCTGTATTACAAGGTCCGCTCAGCTGCAAAAAGCGAGCAAGATGAAGTCGCGCGTCAACCACCATCACCATCGGAGAACCGGGCAGAAACATCAAGTTGCTGCGCGTCGAGAGGATCTTGACCGCCCAAATCGAAATGGGGAATCGAATTGCGGGGAGGGAGGAATTGAATTGTGGGGGAAGGGGGAATCGAAATTGTTGGGGGAAGGGGAGTTCGAATCGAAATTGTCAGGGGAAGGGGGAATCCAAATTGTGGGTGCAGAGGGAATCGATTTTTTTGGGGAAGGGGGAACTGAAACCGTTGGGCCAGGGGGTTACAGCATGTTCCTACCAGCCTCTTCCCAAGAAACCTCTTCCCAGACTCGGATGCTACAGTGTCGCAAATTTCGACGCGAAATGTTTTAGTGCAATTCCGCGAAGTGCGGAGTGAGATTTGACTTCCCGAGATTCAGGGGCGTGTTTTAAAATCTATTTCAAACGAGCAGATTTTCAGACAAACGCGAATCTGCTCAGTAAAATTTCGATGCCAGCTGGTTTTGGTTGAGAGCGATGGAACACAAATATGAAACGGGAGTATTTCGAAAATTGGTCCTGGGAACACGCTTCAAGATCGCGCGTGCGTCTGGGAAGAGGTTGCCTAGGAAGAGGCTCGTGGGAACACGCTCTTACGATATTGTGGGGGTGACGGGAAAATCAAATTTCGCTGCCTTGTTAGCAGCCGCTCCGCACCCTTATGGGCAAATAGGGTCTGGAACACTCAAATTCATTTTGCATTTGATATAACACATGGGCGTTATATTTTTCCGGGCCACTGTTAACACCCACTCATTTTTTTAGTGAATTTTTATATCCACCTTAGGGTGTTATATACGAGGGATTACGGTAACCTGTTCTGAACTTCTCCGTAGAAAAACTCATCGAATAGAAACCTCTGGTCAAATGATTCCAGCTGCATCAGCTTCTTCGTCCGCACACGCTGAAAACTTCTAAAAGAGACGAAACAGCTGCTGCTCTCCTTCCCTTCCTTAGAAACACTCCGCAAATGTCGGTCGATGTCGCTCGTACCCCTGAAGATAGCGGGCACAACTCTAGCTGTAAACTTGTGAACTGCTCCTCAACCCCACCAAAACTACAACAATGCTTCACCGCTACCCGTAAAAATGCCCAGGCGTCACGACGTCCTTTAGCAGCGCCCCCACGGTTGCTCCACGAGCTGTACGCATGAACTGAACCCTTAATATTAGGGTTTACCAGAGTCCACCACCTCGGCATAATGTTTTGGCCGTCGATCAGGGTCAATGCGCGTCATATGACGTCGATCTCCGCCCAGCTGTTACCCAACTCTAAAATAATCTGGTACCCCTGTCCAGCTGGCCGTGCAAATGTTCACCCATCTCGCGGCTGCTGCAGGATACGCAAAACCGCTTCGCTGCTGCTTAACTAACTAGGAGAATCCGCAGAGATAGGAGTGCACATGCTTCTAGTTAGAGGAGTTTTAACGAGCTCGCCTACTGACCACTGGACAGCTCCCCCCTTCGTCGAAAACTTGACAAACTACACCCGTAAAAATCGGAACCTCCTTCTGCTGCACCTGGTGAAACCCCTAGCTCCACTGCAACAGTAACTTCTAAATTTTTGGCGACACTCCAACAACACGATTTAGGTCTCAGGTTCACCCACCTTATTCAGCCAGAAGCCGTCGATTAATAAGTCGACACTGCTACTTGGTGGGAATGGTGATTTTCGGGTGACGTAGCTGAGCGAGTAGCAGCCGGAACGTCGCTAACCCATCTGCTCCAGTACTCCCGTCGTTCTTCTCCCACTGCTTCAACTCCTGGCAGTTAACGCATTCGGCAACCGGTGGAAAAACAATTTATACACACCCAGGGGTGGTGGCCTCCGTTTCCGTTGATCGTGGGGGTATGAATCGCTAGTCCACGAAAAACGCCTCCCCACGCGGGAAGTCGCCCTCGCTTAGTACACTGACACCAACACTGCGTCATCACCTCCAGATGGCCGTCGTGGAGGATAGTGCCGAGGTCGTTAATCCCAGCTGCTCCCACACAACTGCACACCCACACGTCTTCGTGCGATCGTGTCGTTCCGAAATTGTCGGATCCGCCCATTGCCGAAACAGTTTTGAAGTCCTGTCCATCACCTGCAACTAGCCTACCGAAAACGCCAGGACCCGCGATACAGCTACAGTTGACCCTTCAGCTTCATGGCGCACCAGACGTACATCGCCGTACATCCCATCATTTTTGCCACCCCGCGCGCTCCTGACGACCAACTCCCGGCCGCCTGAGAACTCCCGTAGACTTGTCTCCTCATGACGAAGCTTTCGATTTTTTCGGAAGCCAATCCGAAGGCTCCGTCCGAACACCCGAAAATTACGAAAGCTCTAATGAACATACTCGAAAAACACGGCGAAAACGTCGCCCACTCTTCGACGGGAAATAGCACCGTCTACGATCACAGAAGGGGAGGACCGGCCAATCCCGACCGTCCATCGGACAGGATCCGACGGCATCGGCAATGCCCGCGTAATTATTTTCCGCGACGTCCGCTCGCGATCAGCATCCTTCCGCCCCCTTCCCCGATAGGGTCTGCTCCCCTACCGGAAGCCTAATGAGCAGGAACGTAGCTCTGATACCAGCTGCTATGAATTATAACTCAGAGTAAAGCGCACAATACTATAGGGGAGTGTGATTCCATAATGACAATAGAAATTAGGCCTAGGGCTTATATAGTGCAAGTTGACCAGGATTGAATGTCGATGGTTGGACCAGTCAAGGGCTCGACAGTCCCGAGAGTGACGGGGTTAAAATGGGTTCGGGGCGACTCGGGATCAGGTTGGGGCTGTCGAGGTCGGCGGGGGCTGGTTTGGCGCGTGACTTGAGGGCCGAGCCTGCGGAACCGAGAGGTTCGCGTGTACTCACTGTGGCGAGCCCTGCGGAACCGAGAGGTTCGACTCACTGCGGAATCGTAATTCCTTACAACACGTGCCCCTTACATAGCACCATATTGTACGGTGTAACGGATTAAGTTAAATGTGACTACTGACTTCAGTGTCTGTCGAGCCGCTTGCCAATGGCTTGTTCCTGGATGGGCCTCACTGACGTGGCCGTCCCTCACCAGTCAGGCATCATGTGGCTATGAAGCTAGTGTCGTGGCCTCTTCTCACCACTGACTGAAGCCTGCTTGAGCAGCACAAGACTGGACTGGAGGGAGCGGAGATGTAGACTACCAATATGGACGACTGCTATGCTGAAACTAGCGAGTCGAGAAATCCTTGGTCTGTGTCTGGTGGAGCGAAGAGGTATCTGATGAGCCTAAATTCGTAAGAAGCTGACAAACGACGGACTATGTTGCTATCCCGAGCCTGCTAGTTTCTCCTCCCTTGTGTCACACAGCTCGATCCAATTCCACACATGCCTGCAATTGCGTTGCCGCGCGTCTTCCCCTCAATTCTCCCTCTTACTTCGCCGTCTCTCGTCTCGTTCCGGTTCGCCTCGCCACACCAGCTTTTGACCTTCATGGCGCCTAAGCGGCGACCCCGGGAAATCTCTTCCGAGTCAGATGATACCTCCTCCGCTTCAGATACCCCTTCCCCGCCGCCGAAAACGTCCAGAACCTCCTTAGGGAAGCGCCAAGGTCAAGTCGAAGCATCTAAGAAACGTTCCGCACCAGCGTCAGCAAAGGCCACGGGAAATGGAGCAGGGAAATCCCTAGGGAATACCTTAGGAAAATCCCCAGGGTCCGGGAAGGCTTCCGTAGCCGTAGGATCGTCTCCGTTTGATGCGGAGCCGGCATGGGCGCAGAAGGATTCGCGCGCGGTGAATCCGGGGAGGGTGCGCGAGCTGCGGAGAGGGCTGCGGCGGAAGGGCCCCGTGGTATACTGGATGTCGCGAGATCAACGGTCCAGGGATAACTGGGCTCTCATCTACGCCGTCCAAAAGGTGCAAACGTGCGAAAAAAAAATTGGAATAGCGTAATAGCGAGTATTGGGTGCACTCCCGATCGTTCCCTCTACGCTGGTTCCCGCGATGTAGCTTTCTCATCGTTCGCCGGCTGTGCTTCTTACTAAGTCCGTCAAGGACTAGACGCCATGTTTCGAGGCGCCCGGGAATTCGTTGCGTGAGGCGGAAGGCGCCGAGTCCGGTGCACGTGGCAGTCACTTTGACCCTCCCGACCTATTCTTCTCTCCCTCCCGACCTATTCTTCTCTCCCTCGCGCCTCCCTCGCGCCTCCCTCGCGCCTCCGCACGTTGTGTACCACCCTTCCCCCCCCTCCCCCCTCGTCTCTTCCCGTTCATTCACTTTCTCCTCACCGCTTCCCCTTCCCTCCCTTCCTCCCCCCACCTCCCCTTGAAACCACCAGGCGCGGGAGCGGGGAGAGCCAGTGGCGGTGGTGTTCAACCTCGTGGACTCGTTTCTAGGCGCCAAGGCGCGGCACTTCGGCTTCATGCTGCGCGGATTAAGAGAGGTGCAGAGCAGCCTGCACGCCCTCGGGATCCCCTTCTTCCTCTTTCAGGTGACTGTAACGAATGTGGCCGCAGCGAGTGTGGATTTAACGGGTGGTGATGGGCCGTGCGGTTGTGGGAGCCAGTGTGCCGGAAACGAATGGGAAGTGTAACGGTTGTGGAGTGTGCACTGGCCGATTTGCTCTCTGCCTGGCTCCCTCCCGATCCGATCAGCCCCCTTCCTCTCGCCCTGCCCTGATACATTCCCAATCTATCCTTCCTCTGTTCAAGAGTTGTAGCCACACCGACGCACATGTATTCTCACTCTGCCTCGGCTGCGCAGCCTACCAATGCTCCCCGTCTCCAGGGTAAGGCAGGGATGACGGCTCTGGATTTCATAATCTGATGTTTGACGCTCATGAGGTCATTTTTGTCATCAAAACCAGGCCGTCTGTTCTCAGTCCACCTCTTTCGCTCCTCTCTCAACCCATCCCCAGGGCAAGGCAGAGGAGACAGTTCCGGATTTCCTCATGCGATGTGGCGCGTCCCTACTGGTCACCGACTTCTCCCCACTGCGCATCGGGCGGCACTGGCGCGAGGCTGTGTGTGCCAGGCTGGCAGCGCGGGAGCTCAGCCAATCAGGGAGCAGCAGCAACCGCAGGGTCCAACGCGGCCCTGCTGCAACTGACAGAGCAGCAACCATAGCAGGAGCAGCCGAAGTAGGAGAGGTAGATGTTGACAGATTCAACAGTGGTGGCAGTAACGAGGAAGCTAATAAGGAGGGCACGGACGGCAGGGAGGAATTGTGGGATGCGAGCGTGGGGCTGGTAGGCGTCCACGAGGTGGACGCACACAACGTGGTGCCCATCTGGGCGGCATCAGACAAGTTAGAGTATGCCGCCCGCACCATCCGCACCAAGATACACCGGAAATTGCCCGAGTACCTGGTGGAGTACCCCCAGGTGGAGGCGGGGAGCACTGTGGAGTGGGCGGGGGAGAAGCCAGTGCCTGTGGACTGGGACTCGCTGATAGAATCTGTTATAAGGTGAGACTCGCTATAAGCTGCTCTGATACTTCGATATAACATAGAGTGGGGGAGAAGCCGGTGCCTGTGGGCTGGGACTCGCTGATAGAATCTGTAATCAGGTGAGACTCGCTATAAGCTGCTCTGATTCTTCGATATAACATGGAGTGGGGGAGAAGCCGGTGCCTGTGGGCTGGGACTCGCTGATAGAATCTGTTATAAGGTGAGACTCGCTATAAGCTGCTCTGATACTTCGATATAACATAGAGTGGGGGAGAAGCCAGTGCCTGTGGAATGGGACTCGCTGATAGAATCTGTTATAAGGTGAGACTCGCTATAAGCTGCTGTGATTCTCTGATATAACATGGAGTGGGGGAGAAGCCGGTGCCTGTGGGCTGGGACTCGCTGATAGAATCTGTAATCAGGTGAGACTCGCTATAAGCTGCTCTGATTCTTCGATATAACATGGAGTGGGGGAGAAGCCGGTGCCTGTGGGCTGGGAGTTGTTACAAGATTCTGTTGTCAGGTGAGACTCGCTGTTAGGTGCTGTGATGTAGCATGAGTTGGTGGCGGGAAAGTCGGTGCTTGTGGACTGGGACTCGTTGATAAATTCTTGAGTTAGGTGAGGGAATAGCCTCTGTGATCAGGTGCGAGCCCATATGCGTTCTCTGATGGGGTGTAGGGAGAAGCTGGCGCCTGTGGACTGGGAGGGATGCAGCGGCAGCAGCAGGGCTGAGGGCGTTCACTGACTGGTGTGGTTCGAGTCGACTCATGTCCCTTCCGTGCCTTTCCCTGCGTGCTGTGGGCAGGGCGACTTTTGAGTCGACTCAAAAGTCACCTTCCCCTGCGTGCTGTGGGCAGTACTGACTGATCCCGGGGCACCTGAGGTGGACTGGGTGGTGCTGGGGGAGCCAGCGGCAAGAGAGAGGGTACAGACGTTCACAAAGGGCATCACTCGAGTCGACTCAAGGCGCTTCCTCTTCTTTCCCTGCTTCCTTTTCATAGAGACGATCCCAAGGTGCCTGAGGTGACTTTTGAGTCGACTCAAAAGTCACCTAGGCACCTGAGGTGGATTGGGTGGTGCTTTGAGTCGATTCACCCTTCTCTCCCTCCCTCCTTCTCTCCCCCCCCCCCTCGCTCTCCCCATCCCCTGACTGCAGGGCTGGTCCGGAGGTGCCTGAGGTGGACTGGGTGGTACCAGGGGAGGCAGCGGCTGCAGCGGGGTTGAGGACTTTCCTGGAGAGGCGGCTGAAGGGGTATGACAGCCAGCGCAACGACCCCTCTAAAGGGCCGACTTCCCTCTCTGGCCTCTCCCCCTGGCTGCACTACGGGCAGATCGCCCCCCAGCGATGTGCTCTGGAGGCGAGAAAGCTGAGGAAAGAGCACAGCAAGGTGAGCAGGAGTGCAAGGCGAGCAGGCATGCAAGGCGAGCAGGTATGCAAGGCGAGCAGGCATGCAAGGCGAGCAGGCATGCAAGGCGAGCAGGCATGCAAGGCGAGCAGGCATGCAAGGCGAGCAGGCATGCAAGGCGAGCAGGCATGCAAGGCGAGCAGGTATGCAAGGCGAGCAGGCATGCAAGGCGAGCAGGCATGCAAGGCGAGCAGGCATGCAAGGCGAGCAGGCATGCAAGGCGAGCAGGCATGCAAGGCGAGCAGGCATGCAAGGCGAGCAGGCATGCAACGAGTGAAGAGCAGTGAGGCGTAGTAAGGAGTGCTGCCGCTGTCCGGCCTCTTCCCCTGGCAGGTCGCCTCTCAGCGGAGCACTCTGGAAGCAAGGAAATTGGAAAGAGAGCACAGTAGGGCGAGAGACGACTGAAGGGGTAAAAAGGCCATTGCAACGACCCTTCTGTTGGAGATGGTTCGTCCAATATTTCGCCTACGACCGAAGCAGGATGTTTCGCCTACGACCGAAGCAGGATGTTTCGCCTACGACCGAAGCAGGATGTTTCGCCTACGACCGAAGCAGGATGTTTCGCCTACGACCGAAGCAGGATGTTTCGCCTACGACCGAAGCAGGATGTTTCGCCTACGACCGAAGCAGGATGTTTCGCCTACGACCGAAGCAGGATGTTTCGCCTACGACCGAAGCAGGATGTTTCGCCTACGACCGAAGCAGGATGTTTCGCCTACGACCGAAGCAGGATGTTTCGCCTACGACCGAAGCATTGTGGGATGAAAGAAGTAGAGTGGGGAAATGACAAGGAAAAGGAGGGATGCTACTGCTCTCTAACATTTCTCCAAATGATGGCCGTCGTGCAAAAAGTGATGCGGAGAATCTGGGGGGTGAGGATTAGGAATTAGTGTTGAGGCCAGAGCATGGTGATCAGGACGTTGGAGGGGCTGCTTCGGACATGCATGGACGGCTACCCTCTCCTCTTGTTGTTCCCACACTTGCCAGCAGCTGAAGGGGAGAGGGTTGTTGTACAAGCATGCCAGATGCAGCCCCTTCAACGCTCTGGCCACCGTTCCCTGGGCTCAACCCTGTTCCCTACTCCCCGTCCTGTTGCTCCAGTCACTCCTCTTTGCCCTGTGAGCAGCACGTAGCACCTTGATAAGAGTAAGAGAGTAGCACATGACTTCCGCAAGTACATCGGGCAGAGCTTCTGCCTGCAGCAGTACGAGGAGACGGTGGTGGTGCGTGCATGGTAGATGCAGCCCCTCCAACGCCCTTGCTGTCGTCCTCTGGCCTCAACCCTGCTCCTTGCTTCTCTAATCGTCCTTTGTTTGATAGGAACGTGGGTGGTACAGGCATGTAGGCGGCGATACAACACAACACAAACACAATTTAGACCTGCCTGCACGAGCTGGACCTTAGGGGGTTCTCCCAGCACCGACTCTAGCACCTGCAGAAGCACGCCCGCGTGGAGGGGTTTCGCAGAGTCTCCCAGCGGGCTCTACTCCGCCGCCAGGGCGTGGTTGATGTTTGTATTCGGCGCAGCGGCCTGCCCACGCTGAAGAGTAACCGGCCATCTCTGGCAGTACTCGTGAAACAGTTTGGCAGCCACTTCGGCGCACAGCTGGAGGAGCTTTTTGAGTCGACTCAAAAGTCGATTCGGCGCACAGCTGGAGGATCTTGAAGACGCCCGGGCGGGCAAGATGTCGTTGTTACCTTGCCCGTCACCTGACCTGCGGCCGCAGGCTGCCGGCACAAACCGCCACCAAGACGTGAACTATGAAGAAAGAAGAAACTTAACAAGGAGAGCAGGGAAGTGAGGGCTCTTATAGGAAAACAGGGAGGGATAGCACAGGCTTTCTCTTCCTTGCTTCTTGTCCGGCTGCTGCTTCAAATTGCCCTGTGAAGTAATTTGCAACACTTGCTTGCAGACAAGTAATGTTCTTCCAGGACTGAGCCAACATCACCTTTCCAGCTCTCTGCTTCATGCAGTTGACGCGTTTCTGGAGATGCTGGTGGTGCGGAGGGAGCTAGCTGACAACTGCTGCTTCCACCAGTGCTGCCACTCCCCCCTCCTCTCCCCCCCCCCTCCTCTCTTTTCCTTTGCCTCTCTCCCCTTACACACTCTCCCGGGAAGTAGACGCATTCCTGGAGGAGCTGGTGGTGCGGCGGGAGTCAGCCGACAACGACTGCTTCCACCAGTGGTGCGCCCCTTCCCGTCCCCCAATTTTCTCTGCCTCGCCCCCCCTCGCCTCTCCTCCTATCACCCTTCCCAGGCAGTGGACGCCTTTCTGGAGGAGCTGGCGGTGCGGCGGGAGGTGACGGACAGCGACTGCTTTCTTTTAATGCCCCCCCTCCTCCACCCCCCCCTTCTTTCTCTCCCCCACTCCTCTCTTCCTCTATCACCCTTCCCAGGCAGTGGACGCGTTTCTGGAGGAGCTGGTGGTGCGGCGGGAGCTGGCCGACAACTACTGCTTCCACCAGCCGCAGTACGACTCGCTCAAGGGCGCGTGGGAGTGGGCTCAGACGACGCTGGAGGCGCACAGGGGGGACTCGAGGGAGTTCGTGTACACGTGAGTGGGTGGGTGGGACAAGAGGGAGTTCGAGTACACGCGAGTGGGTGGGAGGGACTCGAGGGTTCCTCTTGGATGTCTATCTAGGACTCGCACTAGGACTCGCTCGAGGGCGCGTGGGAGTGGGCTGACCTCATGCCTCTCATGCCCTCATGCTTCTCATGCCCTCATGCTTCTCATGCCCTCATGCTTCTCATGCCCTCATGCTTCTCATGCTTCTCATGCCCTCATGCTTCTCATGCCCTCATGCTTCTCATGCCCTCATGCTTCTCATGCCCTCATGCCTCTCATGCCTCTCATGTCTCTCAAGCCTGCATTGCGTCTTACGTGTGCCTGCCATACCTAATCGGCCCTACCTTGATCGTGCATTCGACTGATTTGAACTGCAGGGCAGCGCAGTGGGAGGCAGCCAAGACCCACGACAAGGTAGCATTTTCTTGCCTTCCAGTGCAGGTCTTGAGCTACTACTACTAGTCATAAGGCACTTAAAGTCACAGCAGAATGCGCTGCATACATCAGTCGGCCATTTAGAGTGCCTCTAATTATCTCTGTTAGTCATCCTTTATCAGAGATTAGAGAGTGCTAAGCTGTCATCCTTCATTAGAGTGCTCTGGATTTTTAGCTGCTGTTGCAGCTGGCCTTTCGGGAGTTGCAGCTGGCCTTTCGGGAGCCATGGCCAGCAATTAGCATTTTCCCTCCCCCATCCGTTGCCGCATGTCAGTTGTGGAACGCTGCGCAGCTGGAGCTGGTTCACTACGGCAAGATGCACGGTTACATGCGGTGAGAGATGGATATAGTGCGGCGAGGCATGGTTTAGTGTGGTAACAGGGGTCCATGTGGTGAGGATGAGTGTCAGAGAGGTAGACGTTGCAGCTAAGGTGTTGTGCTGCTCGGGTGGAGCTGGTTCACTACGGCAAGATGCACGGTTTCATGGAGTGAGAAGTGATTGGTTTAATGCAGTGAGGCACGGTTTACTGTGGTAGCAGTGTTCAATGTGATCACCTGTACACCCGACCTGGTCACTCCCCTGTGTCGACTCCAACCTCTCCACCCCTCAGCACCGTCTCCAACCTCATCATTTATTGACATTTTTGCCCCCTCCACATCATCGCATCCCTTTTCCCCTCCTTCCTGCTGCTCTGCATGCCCCCCAGCATGTAGCGGGCCAAGAGAATTCTTGAATGGTCGCGGTTGTTAGAATTGTTTTAGAATTCTTAAGAGCCTTTCCCCCCACTCCCTCCCCTCCTTCCTGCTGCTGTGCGTGCCCCAGCGTTTATGGGGCCAAGATGATGCTCTAGTGGTCGCCATCTTTGAGGCGCCTCAACAGTCCCCACCCTATTCCAGCCCGATTCCCTCCCCCAACCCCCCTCCCCCCTTCCTCTCCTTCCTGCTGCTGTGCGCGCCCCAGCATGTACTGGGCCAAGAAGATTCTCGAGTGGTCGCGAACGCCAGAAGAGGCTTTAAGGATTGCCATCGAGCAGAATGATAAGGTGAGAGGTGTGTGTGTGAGGGTCTTCTGGCTCGTCTGCTCTAAGCTAGCTTCAAGAACTGGTCTGCCCATCCATTTTCCATGCGAAAATCGTTTTCCCAACGTCTTGCATTCATGCGTCTTGCATTCATGCGTCTTGCATTCATGCGTCTTGCATTCATGCGTCTCGACAGTTCCTCTCTTGCTTCACCATGAGTTGCTGCTTTCCCCATTCCTCTCCGCTCCTCCCTTCTTCTCTCTTCTCCTCCCGCCCTGCTCCTCTCCTCCCTTCACTCCTCTCCTCTCCTCCCTTCACTCCTCTCCTCTCCCACCGTTTCCTGCCATCTGTCATCCCCTCGTCCGGTGCACATAGCCTTTTACTCTCAAAACACGATCTTCATACCAAGTCTTATTGGGTGGTGGACTTTTCAACGTGCATGACGCCTTCTGAGACCTTCCTCTTGCGTCTCCCATTCTGCTTTTGAGTCGACTCAAAAGCAGTCACCCATTCCCACACCCCACCCCACCCCACCCCACCCTCATTGCTGTTGGAATAGCTGTGGGGTGGGGTGGGGTGGGGTGGGGTTGCGTCACCCATTCCCACACCCCACCCCACCCCACCCCACCCCACCCCACCCTCATTGCTTCACATTACGGATTGGATGGCCGGGATTCCAACGGCTATTCCGCATTTTGAGGTGCCTTACATGCCGCTTCCCCAACACATGGCTTCCCCTTGTTCCTCAACGCAACGCTTCCGCCCGTCCCCCCTGCCTTTCCCCCTTGCCTTTCACATACCCCCCCCTTGACAGTACTCATTGGACGGCCGGGATCCCAATGGCTATGTGGGCTGCATGTGGTCCATTGCGGGCGTGCACGACCAGGTATGGCACATGTGTGTGTTGCAGGTGTGGGTACATTCCCTTGCTGGTTGCACCATGCGTCCTGTTTGCTTCCCTTGCTGGTCCTATCACTGACCGTCCAATGGCATCGCCAACTGGCTTCTCTCATTCGCTTTCAAACCCGGGGCTGGGCGCAGCACAAGGTGTCAAGCAAGATTCGTTTTGAGGCGCCTCAAAACTAGTCATTCGCTTTCAAACCCGGGGCTGGGCGCAGCACAAGGTGTCAAGCAAGATTCAGCGCCCACCCCATGTGCTGCCCTGCACTTTCCCCCCACCCCCCACCCTGTCCCCTCACCCCCTGCATTCCTTCCCTCAAACGCATTCAGGTGTCTGGCGAGGTCTGGGTAAATGAATGCAGCTGTTCCGCCCTTGTACATATGTTGTTGCACAAGTGCGCAAGGTGTTCATGTGTGCGGCGTCCCTTTCCAACTTCCCCACGTTATCCTCAATTTTCATCCCCTCTTATACAGGGCCGGGCGGAGCTCCAAGTGTTTGGCAAGATCTGGTACCTGAATGTAGCTGGGCCGCTCGTGTGCGTGTTAATGTGCGCCGTTTCTCTTTCCTCCTGTCCCTCATTCCTCCTGTCCCTCATTCCTCCTGTCCCTCATTCCTCCTGTCCCTCATTCCTCCTGTCCCTCATTCCTCCTGTCCCTCATTCCTCCTGTCCCTCATTCCTCCTGTCCCTCATTCCTCCTGTCCCTCATTCCTCCTGTCCCTCATTCCTCCTGTCCCTCATTCCTCCTGTCCCTCATTCCTCCTGTCCCTCATTCCTCCTGTCCCTCATTCCCCTCTATGTGTATCCCCTCTTGTACAGGGCTGGGCAGAGCGCAAGGTGTTTGGCAAGATCCGGTACATGAATGCGGCGGGGTGCAAGAGGAAGTTCGACGTGGAGGCTTACATAGGGTACGTGAGCCGCATGGTTGCTGCTGTCAAGAAAAAGGGGAAAGCTGCTGCTGCTGCTGCTGCTGCTACGGGGAGTGCTGCTACTTCCCCGGCTGCCACTGCTAATGTTGCCACTGCTGCTGCCGCTTCACTCAGGGCAGTGCAGTAGTGGACGTGTAACTATACAGGTTTCAACTAGTAGTGGGCTTGCCACGGCTGCTGCTGCGGATGGCGTTTCTGTCAACATATATTTGTATATGTTATAGGCTAGATAGGTGCATTCTCATAGAAAGTACAACTCCTTCGGACAAAACCACCCTGTATCACTCATTCTAGTACATTGCGTTATTATGAGATGTTATCATGCTAGGTTAGGCCCCCCTCCTCGCTTACGCTTCCGCCCCTAGCCCTAGCCCTAGCCGCGCCCGCGCCCTAGCTCTGTCCGCGCTGGCCCCGCTAGTTCGCGTCGGCCCAGCTAGTTCGCGACAGCCCCGTCAGTTGGCGCCGGTCCCGCCGCTCCGCGCTGGCCCCGTCAGTTCGTGCCGGCCCCGCTTGTTAGCCGACCCGTAACTTCGCGCCGGCCCCGCTAGTTCGCACCGGCCCTGCTAGTTCGCGCTGGCCCCGTCTGTTCGCTCCGGCCCCGCTAGTTCGCGCCAGCCCCGTCACTTCGCGCCGGCCCCGTCAGTTCGTGCCTGCCCTGCTAGTTCGCGCCGGCCCTGTCACTTCGCGCCGGCCCTGCTAGTTCGCGCTGGCCCCTCTAGTACGCGTCGGCTCTGCTAGCCCGTGCCGGCCCCACCACTTCGTCCCGGCCCCGTTAGTTCGTGCCGGCCCTGCCGTTTTGCGTCGGCCCCGTCCCTCTGCGCCGGCCCCTGCTTACACCGGGCCCCGTTCGAGCCGGCCCCATTTCGCGCCGGCCCCTTTTCCCGTTGTGCCGCGGTGCCGCCGGGCTGCCGTGCCGCCGTGCCGCCGCAACGCTGTGCCGCTGTGCTGATGTGCTGCCGTGCCGCTGTCTCGCCGTGTCGCCGTGTCGCCGTGCCACTGTGCCGCTGGGCCGTCGTGCCGCGGTGCCGTTGTCAGCGGTTACGGCCGTGATGATTGCGGACGCTGTGCTCCGCTTGGACGCTGAGGGTCGGGCGATCGACTTTGAGGCGTGGCTCGTCGACCTCCGCCGTCAACTTACAGATCAGTGCCAGGACGGCTATTCCCTGGCCGTCCATGTCGATGGTAAGCTTCTCTGACCCGCCGCGCCTCTTACCCTCCCTGACGCTCCCACGTCTGCTGAGCGTGAAGCCTTTGCCGCTGCTGAGCTTGCCTGCGCTGTCTGGGAATCGCGCGATGCGGTAACGTAGCTTGCTATTAGTTACGCCCTCCCCCCTGTTTGATAGGCCCCGCTTTACTGCTGTAGCCAATGCGAAGGAATGCTTAGATGCAGTTATCGCGCTCTATTCCACTCCCTCCTCTGCATCAGCCAGCTGTCTGATCCTCCTCAAGCTGTTCCCATATCTTGCGTCCTTCCCCACTGTCGCTGACCTTGCCACTCATCTGCGCGCACTTGAGACTAGTTACCGCGCTGCTCGCACTAAGGGCCCAGCTCAGTGCATTACCTCTTCCCCTCTGCGCTTCCCTTTACCTCATTGCCACGCGCCTTCCTGACCGCCTTGTCACTACCCGCGACCACTTCCTTAGTCAGCACCCAGGTGACCTCAACCTTCTTGCCTTTGTCACCGCCCTGTCCGCGATAGAGACCCGCCAACGCACTATCGAACAGTCTAGCGGTACTGCGGCGGTCCCTATCTTCCAGGGCTGTGCTACCTCCCAGTGCACTTATTTTGACGTCTCTGCCGCTGTTGCTGAGACGAACCCTACTGCTGAGACCGCTGCTGCGGCCTCGATGCAGGCTCCTCAAAGTAGGGGACGTTCAGCCTGGGGGGGGGGGCGTGGCGGCGGGAGGGGTGGTGGGGGTGGCGAAGGTGGCGGAGGTGGCAGTGGTGGTGGAGGGGATGCCAGTGCAGACGAGGGGACCGAGGCTGATGCCCCAGTGCAGCAACAGGAACAGCAGAAGCAGCAGCCCCAGCAGCAGCAGCAGGAGCAGTAGCAGCCACTGTGGGGGCCGCAGCCGCTGTGGTGGCCCGGCGGCGCTGGTGGTGGTGGTCGTGGTGGTGGGCCGCGCAGCTCGGTGTCGGGTGACGCCTCTAGTGTGGTCACCTGCCAGCACAAGCTTTAGTCCGGCCCCCCCGGCGGCTTCGTCTACGACCGTCCCGGTCACACCGCCGCCCGCTGCTACCGCCGCCTGGACGACCTCTTCTGTCTCCGCTTCGGCCCCACGTCGGACCCCCCCGACTGGTACACCCTGGTGCGTCGCCGTGTGCCTGTCTTTCAACTGGATATGGATCATATTAGGTCTGCTATGTATGTCATGTATGCCGATGACACTAGTGTGAAAAGACCCTCTTACCCTGTGTTACCTAGTGTACGTGTGTCCACTTTGTGTAGCCTAGGTTCCCCTGCTGCATCAGGCGTAGGACCATCTGCCTTGTTTAGCCTCGGCTCCACTCTAGCTCCTCCGCCTTCGGACGCCAGCACCACGCTCTCTTTCATGCAAGACTTGGGTGGGTTCGCCTGCTTCTCACTCACGTCGCTTGCCGCCTTTGCCACTACGCGCTTGCTGACCTCTCCTCAGGTCTGGTAGTTGCACGTAGCTCCACTACCCTTCCCTGTCCGGCAGTTCCCTCAGGCTCCTTTACAGGCTTGCACATCCCCTTGTTCTCCAGGAACCTAGTTGGTTCAGGACCTCGGCGTCACCACTACGTTTCCTTAACACGAGCGGTACGTAATCTGCACCGAGGCCGCCACTGGTGCCCGTCTCACCACGTTCCCCCGGGACCCGGTGTCTGGCCTGTTCACTCTAAACACCGCATCCCCCCTAGCGGGAGCGTCCCCCCCAGTGGTTGCACCCTCCCAGGTCGCTACGGCTTGCTCGTGTCGGTCGCTTACCCAACCGTCGCTGCTGTGGCACCACTGCTTGGGTCACCCCGTACTCCCACGTCTACGTCACATGTCTCAGCACGGCCTTGTCTTAGGTCTCCCTGCGTCGCTCTCTGCCCTCCCTCCCTTGCCTGCGCCACCGTGCACGCCCTGCGTCGAGCGCCGGCTGCGCTGTGCCCCTCACTCCTCCTCGTTTCCCCCTACCATTGCGCCACTCGAGACCCTGCACCTGGACGTCTGGGGCCCAGCCTCCGTCCCTGGGCCGCGTTGAGAGTGCAACTTTCTAATGCTCGTCGACGACTACATGCGCTACACCACGGTGTTGCCCCTGGAGTGGAAGGCCGACGTGCCTGATGTTCTTATCTCGTGCATCGTAGCTGCGCGAGTCCACTGCGGTGAGAGTACGACCCCGTTACACCAATTTCCCCTTTCCATATTTCCTTTCTATTTCATTCCTCTTTTTATCCTGATTCATTTGGTCTTTATCTCATCTCATTTGGTTTCCTATTCCTCATTTTCCATTATCCTTTGATTTATCCTATTATAATGATTATATCACCGACCAGGCTCGGGATGTACTGGCACGCTATATCTAGCGTAATCCTGCCGTAATCCCTTAAAGCCAATAGCCTCGCGTGGCTATACGCATGGTGATTCTATTTCTAGAAGGGTCTATTCCCTTTGGATAAGATAAACCTGGTTACCTGATGTACTCTGGAAGTATAAAGGCACCTTGTACTGATTGATAGTGCAACATTGAACAAACCTTTCCTTGGGACATTCGATCCTGTGACACTTGGTAATCAGAGCCAAGGTTTCAGCTCAACGCTTAACCGCTGGGCCCCCAGGAGCACGCCGAGGATGGAGTCGAAACTTGGGTTTTTAGATTACCGGTAACCCTTACTAGCGTTTTACTCTTTGGGATCACGTTTAGCCCCTATTACGGAAGGGTTTCTCGCCGATCAAACCCCCCAGGGACAGTTTTTTGTTCTTCGAGGTTAGTTCTCTCCACAGCGAACCACGTGTAACAATCTCCTTCATCTTGGGCAGAGGGCAGAAACAATAAAACCCTTATGGGCCTGGCATGGCATTCTGGATGGCATCAACCCTAAACTCGCAAAAGGGCCACGAATTTAGGGTTGATGCCCACCAGAATGGCATACTCGCCCCTATGGGTTTTAGATTTTTTCTTGCCAGCTAGCCTGCCCGAATGTTGTCAGCCATTTTCAGTAGCACTACAGATCCCACAATATCGCAGGAAAACAGAGTTCAGTAGCCCCAAAGTGACGGAGCAAGGAGATTGTGACGCGTGGTCTTCTGTGGTGCGAACTAACCTCAAAGAACAAAAAACTGGCCCGGGAGGGTTGGAACAATGAGAAACCCTTCCGTGAAAGGGCTAAATGTTACTCAAAAGAGTAAAACTCCAGTAAGGGTTACCGCTAACCTAAAAACCCGTCGAAACTTCAATTCCTGTAAGTACAATGCACTTTCGTTAAAGTTTCGTTACATTCGGAGAAGGTCGCAGTTCGCCACAACACTTGAAGTTGCGCGGAAAAGCTTCGACCGACGACATCCGTCCGATAGAGGACCAACGCTTCAGATCGACCGAAGCGAAAACGAAACCTTCTGAGCGAGTTCTTCGCTCATCGCGAATGGGAACGGGACCTCACAAGCCGCGAAGTTCTTCGGAGCGTCCGATCGTTCGACAGCCGACATCGACGACCGAGAATTGCTGCAGGAAACGAGTCAACCCGGGCACCGAAAGCTGCTGAACGCGACTCAGGAAGATCTTCAGATCGCTTGGAGTTTGGACCGTCAGATCGACGTCTACTTCAACGGACGAGATGGAGCACGATTGCTGCACAAAGGGAGAATGACGCGCAAAACGAGAAATTAGCCGCTTTCGACACGGTTGACATCATCTGGACATCCAAATTCGGATTCCTCCATTTGGTGACGAATTTGGCGCCCAAGTTATCTACAGAGTCAAAAATCTGCCAGAATATTACCTACTTGGTAATAGCTGCAAGCAGAAAACTGACAGGAGAACGTGGATCGTTGGATCGTTGCGGAATCAACGGCACGAACGCAGCAGAGACTACACTATGGAAAATCATCATCACGGAGACAACATTTGTGACCAGCGACTGCACAATCGACGCATCTTCTGACTGGTGTCGATAACGATCGAGTTATTTTGACGAAGTCATCTTCGTTAAAAATAGATCGACATCAACACAGCGGATCTTCACCCAGGAAAAACAATGGAGCTGCGTGAAGACATGTTATCCATCCACGAGGCACTTCGTCATACAAATTGATCGACAAGCTATGGGATTGCAGAAAAGTAGCCGTTT